AGAGAGAGAGAGAGAGAGAGAGAGAGAGAGGAAGAGAAATTGTAAGAAGTTATTTACGAGAAAGCGAAAAGAAATCTACGATTCCGCGAAATAAAATAAAACGAACTAAACTAAAAGGTAGATAGAAAGATTCGTTCCCTAGTAGAAACATCCAGCGCCTCGAGATTTCTCAACACAGTTGAAGTCCAAGAATGGACCTTTGTTCTTTTGTACTTCCGGTATTGCTCGCCTCTGGCGAACGCAAAGGGAGCAGTTATTTACAGGCAATTCGATAAATCGAGACTGATTGTATCGCCGGATATTCGAGCTCGATTCTTTGAAGACGAAGAATTTTGTAATAAGATGTTTCACGGCGCGAAGTTTACATCGGGAACGCGCGTGCAACGATATTGCGAAACCGGACAAAACGAAAGATGATTTTCCCGAACGACGGGAGAAGTTTGTTAATTTCTACTTTCGCTCGCTCATTCTTTAGATGGGACAGAGGAATTCTAATAAAGCGTAAATTCTGATTTCCAACGAAGGAAGCGTGCTTGAGATACAGCGAGGAATAAGCACGCAGCTGTGTGGAAACGAAACGAGAAACGTAGAATGAAATTCTATTTCCAGCGAAATTTCATTTTTGGAGGGAATGAAGTTAAAAGTTCGGGACTTACGCTTCGATAAATCCTGTTAACTTACTTCTGATTAATTCTGACGAGCAATTGAATTAATTGATTCCGACGGTAGGGAGGAAAATATCTTACGAAACCAAGGACGAGCGAAATTCGAAATTTGTAGAACGTGAGTGGCAAGTAGAAATTTCTTAGATTTCGTAGTCTTCGTACGTTCGATTAAACGAATGAAACGTGAATAAGGATTCATTTCATCCATGATATATCATACTGAATACTATACAATTATCTTTCTAATCTTTTCTAAATGCACAAACATCCACATTTTATATTAAATTCGACTGAACTGACGTAAGCAGTACTTTGAAATACTATCAAAGTACAAAAACAGTATAAGTCGAGAATGTTAATTTCTGGATAGTAGAATGCAATGAATTTTATATAAAGAAAATTACAAAGATGTAATCCTATACCATTTTTGCACAAAACGAAAAAGGCAGTGAAATAAAATTGACGCAGAAGATGAAAATCAAAATAAGTGTCATAAAATTCTGCGTGGCAAAATAATTATCCAGGAAATTCGAACTCACTATCAAGTTGGTCGAAACAACTTGGTTGAAACACTTTCACCGGAATCCCGTCACTGGGCGAATAATCAACCCTGTGTTCGCTTTATACTTTGGCTCGCTACTTAATTTACCGACCGGACGGGACGTCGACGAAACAAGAATAAATTATTTACGCAGCCATTTGAAAGTTTATCCAGACATGCTAATAAGAGAATCATCATTCCCTTCTCCCACCGTGCTGCCCACCCCCCTCCCCCAGCGTCCACACGAACTAAACTAATTATAGCTGTAGACTACTTATCGTTAACCGCGTAGCTCTCGAACTTCCGCAACCGCAAGAACTTTAACGTGCGACATTCCAGGCCTCGCTTTATTGCAAACATAGCCGGCATGATTATTCATGGTCTTCGTGTTAATCTTCGGCCAATGATCCTCCCTCCATATCGATCGCACGTTGCCAAAGGCGCGAGAAACTTGAGTGGATTTCCGTGTAATCTCGCGATCTCGGGGGTGATTCCGGTTCACACAGTTACAGGAGCTGAACACTTGGTTGAATTCTTTGGATGAGTACGGAGGAGTGGTGGGGATAAAATTTGAGAAGTCGAACGAAGGGGAATTTAATTGATAAAGTAATAGAGCGATTGTGCTCGAAAGTGTATTTAAGAATACTTGCAGTGAACATTATGTGAATATATTGTTTGTTTTCTGTATGAAACATTTTGGAACTTCATTAATAATGTAACGACTGTTATGATTACGTTGATATAAGAATATTTTTATTCAAAAATTTGTGCAAAATTAGATGTATGTAAATATTGTATTTAGAATTAATATCAATGATTATTTGCAAAATATATAGTTGTTGATTGTATTTTTAAGAATGCTTAAAACACGATAGTTGGCTCTCTCATTTCAAGATGTTTTATACAAAACACACAATGAAGAACTTGTATGTATAATGCGTATAAATTTATTTATTATTCATCTCGAATGAGGGAATTTAAGATACGTATGAATGAATTTTATCACTTCGATGTTGTGATCAAAGTGAGTTAAAATTCTGTAGCTAATTACAATATAACATAATATGAGGCTCTATATCGACAGCAATAAATAAATTTCATAATTACATTCACCGACTCAATACTTGTACTTTATCAGAGAAAATGTTAACAATTGCGTTCGATAGTACAAATTATTGAAATTCACGAGAATTTGTGTACATGGAGATGCCAATTCCAAGGAAAGTTCGTAAAACAGAAAACGAAAGATTTGATACGGCAGTTTTTTATTCTAATCAAATCGAAGAGTTACCGACTCACAGCATCAATTCTCCATATCATCGAATATTTCGCATTAGTGCTTCTCCAGAAACGAAGAACGTTTCAACATGCAAATCCAACGCGGCGAAATCTCGAACGCGGCATAATGAAGATAGAACTACGCTCGGCCGGAACGTTCATATCGTATCTGAATGCAGTTTCACTCCATTTCCTAGAACCCGAAGCTCCGCCGAAATCAACCCCATAAATTTCACAAGCATCCTTGTCAAGCCACCTAACACGAAACGCAAACGCGACCGTGCCCACTTGGTACGACAAAGTGCTCCATTAATTACTTTCTGCTGCCCTCTGCGGATCCCTAATCCAGTCTATCAAACGCAGGGAAAAAGCAAGTATCACTTCGACTGTTGCCAAAATTCGCGTTAATCATCCAACGTTCGATCGTTCATGCGTGAAATTCACTCTTCATTCACGCTACAGAGTGGTAACCGAGTTTGATGGCCTATCATTTACGAGTCTTCAGTGTTACATTAAAACAAACGGCACCTGCAACTTTTTCTTAAATAGATTGTTGATAGATGACTAATGCCAAGTAGCGCGAAAGTAGTTCGTCTATATATTGGACAAGAAGATGTGATTGAATTAACAGTATTTGATTCATACAATTGAAACATACAACTATGTGATTCAGGATTTTAACTATGCAATGATTTTTCAGTCACGACTCTCGAAAATGTTCTTTCTTTCTCTGACGATTCTGACTGTCTCATACCTCACGATGTGGACTTATCCCAACTTCTTGGCCTGATCTCACATTGTTGGTTATTATATAATCATATAATACACGCCGAATACTTTTATTGTTCAATACAAGCCCAAAATTTTAATATCGTGATACCATTTCTTTCATTTTGAC